GGGTTTCGGGGGGGGAGCCGGCGGGTTCAGGGTGAGGCTGCCGCAGGTAACCTGGCGCTGGTGGCGGCGCGTTTAGGGTGCGTTTTGCACAGGGAAGCCGGGGTGAGGGCGAGCCTGGGCCCAAGCAGAAGGGGCAGGTTTCCCCACTTGAAGAGAAGCGAGGGAGACAGGATTTGGGGTCGGGAAGCAGGGGAAGGGGCTGCTTGCTGCAAGAGCAGCCCGGCTGGGGCAGCTGGTGCCCGGCCAGCAGCGAGCTTGTGAGGCAGGGAGCGTGCAGGGAGGGGGATGGAGGCATCTCGGGGGCGACAGGAGCTGTAGCGGCGCTCTGGGACTGCGGGAGAGGGAGTAGCCCGTGACACCAAACGTCCTGGCGACGACGGGACAGGAGGGTTCTTGATCGCTCAGCTGCTAGCAACTCAGTGACCTTGAGCAGGTCCTGTGCCAAAATCTGCGCGTGTTCACTGGCTCCCGGGTGCCTCAGGTTTTTGGCTGGCCCGACTTCTGTACCGATGGCCTCACTGCGAGGCTCCCGTGCACGTGCGTCCTTTGCAAAGGAGGTGGGGGGGAAGGCAGCGGAGGGTGGGAAGCGCTGGCCTTCGAGTGTTTCTGTCGCGTCGTTTACAGAGAGGAGCTTCCTCAAGGAGCTGCACATCTTCAGTGCTTGTGAGGCCTTTCTTAAATTTACCCTGGGATAGAAATAGATATAAGGAGTGCAATAGCAAAGGCTTTGAAGACGGAGGTATCTAGTTAGACCAGATTCAGCATAGCGTGGCCCAGATAAAAGAAGTACATTTTAAGAGACTCGTAGTGGATTTGTTTGATCTCATGCTTTCCCACTTGAGAGAATCTCCACAGGCAACAGCGTATAGTGCTTGGAGCTTGGAAAGGCGTTTTCTCGGCCCATTTCTGGATGGTTCCCAGGCCTTGGTGCTCGGGCATTAGTATGCTGAGCAGGAGGCATCCTTGGCTGGGGGTACACAAAGGCCCTGTCTTTATTTGCCAAAGAATCATATTTAGATACGGAGGTAGCGAAAAGAGTTCAGAGGCTGGATTGGTGGGGCTGCGTTAACGGGAGGTTAAATTGTGGGGGTGAGGGTTTCATGCTGAGTTGCAGCCTGGGTTTAGAAGATGTTTGCAGAGTGACCTGCAGGGCACTGCTTCATAGTGACAGAGCAGAAGCAGGTACCGTCTGCTCTCTAACCCTCTGCTTTAAATTCGAGGCAGAAGTGCAAAAAATGCTTTTCTATTCATGGTGAAAAGTCACCATTCATACAGATATATTTAAATTTACTGTTTAAGGCTGAAGCAGCTGAAGCGTTGGAGTACAGAATAACTCCACGGCCTGGGAGGGAAGCTGGTGTACTTGTATTATGTTTCAGAGGGCAGGTCTGTTCTTTTGAGACAATTACTTTTATATCTGCCTCCCCAAAGTTACTTGAAAGATCAGCACAGAATTGCCAAAACTGGATGCCACAGGATCGCTGGTCAGAGCAAGGCCCTAGATTTAATTTCTAGAAGAACAAGTACTTTCAGCATCGTTCTCGTCTTCCGCGGAGCGAGGATTTTGCCTGTGGTGATCAAATCAAAACACCCCTAGTGAGGTGAGGCGCTCCTTCCCTCCTCAGCTCCCCTCGGGATGAATTTACTGCTTCAATGGCTTGTGGACCATGGGACTCAAGTGACGTTGTCTAATCCAGATCCTGAATGAAGACAGTTATTAATGAGAGTCCAAGGAAAGTACAGTTATTTTCCCAAAGAGGTTATGGCTTAAATTCTAAAAATAAGCACTATAGTACCTAAAACTATTAATAAAGAAGTATCCTTGATATATACTTCCCCCCAGTAGTAGTAATTACCATCTCCCCTACATGGCGTTTAAGGTAGGAGATATAAAGCAGACCTATTTTCTTACCTCTGGGCTCTGCAGAATTTTGAAATATTTTTTAGAGGCTACGAAAAGCATATAAGGAGAGTCCTTGCTTAAATAGTCTATATTACAACCTGAGTTTGTTATGTCCCCCCCCCCCCCCCCCCCCCATTAAAGCCATGAGGATTTTTCTTAGCAGGGACACCTTACCTTCTAGCTGCAGAGCTCTGGACATAAATGGTTCAGTTCCTGGGTGACAGAGGAATTTGGAGTGCAGATTAAACCCTCAGGTTTCGAGGAAATTGCACTGGCTAGACTTTACTCTTTTTTTATATAGAATATTAAACTAGTGGGACTCATAGCATGAATGGAATAATGTGTTTTATAGGTGCTGTGGGCAGATAATTCCTGTATAGGAAGCTTTATACTGTCTAATTATGCCTGTATTCCTGAAGCAGTAATGCTTTAATTATAATTAAAGCAATACAACTTTTGTTTAGACAAGCCATTAGCTTTGTTATGCGTTATCTGACTATAACAATGAACTGCAGTTTTCTTTGTACTATGTAAAATAGGGTGTTCCCCCCACACACACACTCCTGTGGACCCAGGTGCCCTTTGAGTATTTTTAACTTCACTGTCCATCAACAGGAGCTGTGACAACCTGTAACACTGTTTGCTGAGGTTAAGTAAATATTTTGTTGGCAGACGGGAATGGAAATGCTTTGTTAATAACAACCCCCAAACACACCATAATTTCATAATCTTAAAATCTCTATGCCAGAGGTAAATAACTGCCAGTCATTTTCTTAGTGCATCTCTAACCAATTCAGACTTTGTTGTTTAAGCTCTCTTCGTGAAGCCTGCAATTTGGAGGCGTATTTATGCTAAGGCCTTTCTGCGTTACTCTGACAGTGTAAAATGGCACCAGAGTTGCTGTAGGGTGTTGACTTCATCTCATGTGGAATAATCTAGACTGAGTGAAAATACAGATTTGAAGTGAAGCATCCATTTCTGGCTCTCTGGCACACTCGTTCCAGTTCCTGCGTTTACAAGTGGGGTTACTTAGTGTTACTCTGTTCTCAATAATTTTATGCATATTCAGCTTGTGCCTGTACGTAAGACTTGAAAGAACCCTTTACCAGCGCCTGGTACAGAAGCCTTGATGTGACTGCATTCAGGCCCGTTGTAGTAATTTAGCAGGCTGTTATTCCAGAAGACCTGTAGGCTTTTTTTGATACAAAAGGACAGTCCCACTGGTCAGTGAAATAATCACTTTTTATGCTGGGTTGGTCTTTTGAGACGCTCTTTTCTTTTTGTTTATATATGCCTGGCCCTGCCAGGAGCCAGGCTTGTTCCAAGCCTGGTTAGAAACGCAGCAAGTTAGAGCAGACAATACCCAAAGGGAGACAGATGGAGTGACTGAGCCGTGTTCTGGGGAAGCGGTTGGCGGTGACTGCTGGGACTCCGTTGTCCGTGGGGTGGAGACGCAGCGGTGACGTGTCAGGTGAGGAGGCTGAACCAGGAGCACCTCCTGGCTTGACCTGTGGCAAGAATTCCCCTTGGCTCCTCAACTCGCCTTGCAGTCCCTCAGCTCCTGATCTTCTGAATGCTGCCAAAAGTGGAGGGATGGCAGGTTTGCAAGTGCTGTCGTACCAGAGGGGATTATCCAGTAATGGAAGTGAGGATGAACTTTTTTCACCTTAGCTGAAAAGTGCAGTTAGGCCCTGCTCAACCAAGCTGCGATTTTTAACCCTTTCTTTTCAGGATCTTGGCCATCAGCACGGAGACTCTATAACTCTTTGCTCTTGCCTCTTGCTCCTGCTTTCACTACCCCTTCTTCCCCCTCCTCAAGGCTTGCGTTGCCCTTCAGCTTCAGGAAAGGAGAAATTGAAATGCCCTGAAAAGCACATCTGATTTGTGTGGGGAATCCGAGAACGTGTATGGAGACTTCACAGTGTGTCACTGCTTTCTTTGTACAGGGCCTGGAACGGAAAGGTGGCCTTCTTCACAAACCCAGAATGACTGGAGAGAAGCTGCTTTGGTTGACAGTCCATATTCCTGCCTGTTTGTTAAAAGGTAGTAGTCACTGCTGGAGCAGCACTCTTCCTCCGCAGATGTCAAAGTGCTTTACAAAGTCTGGCAAGCTTTGCTTTACAGCAGAGTAGTCTGAAGCTTGGCGAGTACTGTTGTGTGTACAGACTGCTGTCGGGGTTTAACAAATAGCTGTGGTGACTTCAGAATCTGCTGCCATCAGCTGTGTGTTATGGCCCTTCTGCCAGACATTAGTCCCGTCGCTCTGCCAGCAAAATGTTTTATGCGAGTGCTCCCTATCCACTTCAGGCAAGATAAGCAAAGTTAGGTGATGTGTAGGCTGTTTAAGTTAACTTAGGTGCTTAATCATCTTCTGAAAGTGTCTCTCCCTTTCCAGGTAACAGCACTTCGAATCCGGGCACTTAAGATACGTGGGCTGGGCCTGAGTCCACTCTGCACTTTTGAGGTAGATCTGGGGCATACCACCTCTCCTTCCCAACTCCAGGGAGTCATGGAGGACAAACGCAACATCCCCATCATCGAGTGGGAGCACCTGGACAAGAGGAAGTTCTACGTGTTTGGGATTTGCATGACTATGATGATCCGGGTGAGCGTTTACCCTTTCACACTCATCCGGACACGGTTGCAGGTTCAGAAGGGCAAGAGCCTCTACAACGGGACCTTTGATGCCTTTGTGAAAATCCTGCGGACAGAAGGGACGGCTGGGCTCTACCGTGGCTTTTTGGTCAACACTTTCACCCTGATCTCTGGCCAGTGCTACGTGACAACGTACGAGCTCACTCGAAAGTATGTGTCACGGTACAACAACAACAACGCTGTGAAGTCTCTGGTGGCAGGTGGCTCAGCCTCCCTGGTGGCCCAGAGCATCACGGTACCCATCGATGTGGTCTCCCAGCACCTCATGATGCAGAGGAAGGGGGAAAGCATGGGCAGGTTCAAGGTGCAGAACCAAGACGGCAAGCGGATGTTGGTCTTTGGCCAAACCAAGGACATCATTGTACAGATCTTCAAGGCTGATGGCTTCAGAGGCTTCTATAGGGGCTATGTGGCCTCGCTGCTCACCTATATTCCCAACAGTGCAGTTTGGTGGCCCTTCTACCACTTCTATGCCGGTAAGTGAAAGGAGGCTTTGGGTGTATCTTGTCTCAGGAGACCTAGAAGCCCCAGAGATCAAGTCTGAAACTGTGGACCCAGCAGGATTTGCTTTCCTGCTTTGATTTGGGATTGGAGCAGAACCTATCTTGAACAAGTAGATGAATCCACTTTAAACAATGCTGCAGAGGAAATCTAACAGAGCAGCGTAGTTCTAAATGCAGTGTTAAAAAACAGGGATCTGAGCGCGAGAGGGCTTGAAACTAGGTGGCTTTGGGCAAAAGGGACTTGATGCATCTGCTTTAGCTTTCCCCTTCTGCTAATCCTGAGTAACGCTTGCTTTCCGCTTGGGCAGCGGTATTGGCAGAGTTTTTAACTCGCTGAATGAGTCTAATTTGTATTTCTGTTCACATGGACTCAGGGTTCTTGTATACAGCAAAAAGACTTCTAGAGCCTGAAATCCCATAACAGAACAAAGCAGTAGGCAGAGACAAATGCCAATTTGTCTGTGGCTGTGTGTCTAAGTAAGATCATGCTCCAGTTTCCTTAACTTTAAAACTGGCATCAAGCCTTGTGATACAGAACTGTACTTGACAGTATGTTCTCTCTCCCTAGCTCAGCTCTGGTAAGGCTCGGGCCGTTCCCAGATACTAAAGACATTGGCCAGCTAACTTTTTTCCCCCTCCCCCAATAATCCTTTTGATTTGTCATGTAGCTTTGCATGTGTTTTTTAGACCAGTATTTGCTTAATAACCATCTAGCTCAAAGTGGTGATAATGATGGGCTTAAATTTCACTGTACTAAGCTTAAGGTAAATCCTGGAAGTCTAGTCCTATTCTTAAAAATGCAGGTGTCTCAGGTGCCTGGCTTGCTTTTCAATGCAGGCACGTTCTGGTAGCAGCTTGGGATGTTCACCTCGTTTGAGCTTTGCTGCAGCTGCTCCCTTCACTGTCTATCTCAGCTCCACTCATATTTTCAGTCCTCTTCCTCAGATGCAAGTGTGTGTTTTTGGTTTTTTGGTTTTTTAATACAAAAACACAACATTCAACTGTAAGACTTCCATTGCAAAAACACTCAAATGCAAGCATCTAAGAACAAGTAATGGAGTGTTAATAGGGAGAGAATAGAGCTTGCTTTTACTAGATGTTTGCTCCCTTTTTTTAGCCTTTCACCATGGAAATCAAGATGATGCTTAAAGGTAGGCCTGAGTGGTCAACGCATCCCTTCTGCAGCCGCTTGCACACTGGCTCTTCCTCCTTTCGCTGTCCCTGGACAGCGTGCTGGTCTTGGCTGCTGACACAGGGGTCATCGAACCTGCCTCAAGGCTCAAAGTACGCTGCTGGCAGTGATTCAGGTTAAAATCCTGTTTGCCAGAGAACAAAAGCAGACCGAAGAAATCCCTGATAGGAGCAATACAAAGCACTGTCCTTCATGGAAGTCCCACAGCAGGACATCATGTGGATATCACCTGGACAATCTGCTAAGTAGTGGTGATGGCCTTCTGGAGTTGTGCAAGCAACTTGCGATAGTCTTGTCTAAAAGCTCCCCCCCGCCTTTGAAAGGAGGGGTGAATGTTTCCATGGTCTGTTTTGGGGAGATACAAGCTCTTGCTGCTCTGTTTGCCCAGCAGGTCCGAGAAATCTTGCATTTGAGCTGATTGAAGGCTCTGGCAGTGGAGCGCTGCGCTGCCGAGGGCATTTTTGGGGGCTTGCTCCCTGCATTTTGCTGACTTTTCAGAGAACACCACACAGATGTGCTGCGGGTGGATGCAACAGGCTGTAAATCAGGGATTCTGCCTGTTGCAGATCAGGCTAAATGAGCAGGTGGAGTTAAGGAACTGGTAAGCAGCCACTTGTCTATAACTTTACTCTCCCTCCCATTCCCAGAACAGCTTTCTAGCTTGACTCCTAAAGACTGTCCCCATCTCCTCCTGCAAGCTATATCAGGGCCACTTGCAGCTGCTACAGCTTCCACGCTCACCAACCCCATGGATGTCATCAGGGCTCGGGTGCAGGTAAGAGCTCAGCCTGCGGCAAGACTATCTGCAACTACGGAATGACGCAGGGGTGGGGGTTCAGTCTCAGCCCTTTGATCTGTGGCTTCGGGTAAATGACTCTCCTTCTCCCTGTTCCTAGGTTGTTCTGTCCTAGATATCGCACTGCTTAAATTGCACTGGGTGTTAATGGGAGGCAGCTCAGGTAGCGAGGCCAGCTTCACCTACCCAGATGGCTCAAATGAGATTTCCCATCAGATGTGCCACCCTTCAGAAAAGGAGAGGTGCTTCCAACAATATCAGTTTTACTGATACTCGAGCTGTTGTGTTGGCCCACCAGCTTCTAGATGGGGACGGTGGGAGGGAAGGAGGAGGCAGGTCTAGTGGCAGACCCCACTTACGGCCCCCTCTTTAGGACTTCTTCCTTTTTTTTTGCTTTTTTTTCCCCCCCTCGGACACTGGGTAAGGCTATTGGACTGGCTGATCTGTAGCCTCCATAGAGGCTTCTGCCAGAGCAGAACCCCAGAGCAGCTCTGCATGACATCTAGCAGCTCTGTGAATGTCTTTGTTCTGGCTTTGCAGGTGGAAGGCAAGAGCTCCATCATCCTCACCTTCAAACAGCTCATGGCAGAGGAAGGTCCCTGGGGCCTGACGAAAGGCCTCTCTGCCCGCATCATCTCAGCCACTCCCTCCACCATCGTCATCGTGGTGGGATATGAAACTCTGAAGAAGCTGAGCCTCCGCCCGGAGCTGGTGGATTCGAGACACTGGTAGAGGCAGCTAGTGGGAGAGAAACCTTCTTTTGAACCTTCTGGATTTGGACCGTCGCGGTTGAAAGCTCAGGAGGAGAGGCAGCTGGAGTCTCCTTTGTCTCTAGCTAACAGGGAGCAGGTTTCACAGTACAAGGCAGAAGCAAGAGCAACAGCAATTCACCTCTTTAGATCTGATTGCAGTACAATGCTCTGCTGCTGTTTCTGGTTAAAATCATCAAAAATGTGACCTTTGGCAGTGCTCTTTGCCTGTGACAGTTCCCTCAAGAGCAGCCAGGTGTGTGAATGAATCCTGGCAAGTTCTTAATTCCCTTTTTTTTTTAAATTAAAGATTTACCAGTTGGAGCAAAAGCCAGCTCATTCTTTAAATTATTTTAGTTTGCCAAACTTCTGAGCAGGGCCATCTAACAGACTGCAGCAGAGCCCTCTGGTGGGTTGTGTGCTGATTGCAATTGTACTGTGGGAAGGTGGAAAAATAGTATAGACAAGTAAATGTTCCCAATCGTCCACTTTTATTTCTAGAAGATGTGAGAAGACAGTAACCTGGAGCCACTTAAGACCTTATGTACTGCCTTTGGAATAGCTCTGTACATACCTTTTTTTGTACATTCTTGGAAAATGTTTCCTATCTCTCATCCTTCAAACAGCAAACCAGCTGTTAGGCAAGTTAAGAATCGTGTTGGCTGTCTGTAATTAGTTGATGGTAATTTTGACACCTAACCTATGTTTTTAATCTGTTGTTATTTAACTTTTTTTTTTATTCCAGGGAAGCTTATTCTGATTTGTGGGGGACTGAGTGGTTCTGTGGCCTTGTTCAATGTGAGTGTCAATACTGCATGTTCAGGGGAAATGGAGGCTGCTGCTGCTTCCCACCTTCAGTCGGTTTAAGCACAAACAAGTCCAGAGCGTGGGGGAAGCGTGCCAGGTTGCTGTGCTGCTGGCAGCCAAGCTGGCAGCTGACCATGATTTGAGCCACAACTGGGTATGAGGTGGGGAAGAAAAAAGCTTCTACTGGCTTTTGATCCAGTCCAAACCTAATTGGCATGTTCATATTGAATAAGAAATAATGGTTCGCTACTACAGTGTAAGTTTAAATCCTGCTTATCCTGTTTGGGAAGGGCAAGGACAATCCTTTACACACTCTCGCTGGATCAAAATCTTAAGCTATGGGGTGTTTCTTACCAGGTGAAAACTCACAGTCAAGTTGTGAAGCGAGAGACTGCTCTTTGCGGAGGAGGAAAGAAGGGATTGCTAGTCTCAATATTTGAGATGAGCATCTTGTGATGCCGGCCCGCACGTGGTTAGCTGTGTGTCTGACAGGTGAGAGAGACACTTCCAGAGAAGTGGCATGTGTAGCTGAGACAGAAAAGTTACTGCCTCTGTTCATCTCGCTGTGGTAACAAGGGATTCGTGGTTGTAGGGTTGATCCTGCTAAACTGTGGCTGCTGCCAGTCTCTCAGCTGCCTTTTCACCTTGGACTAAGTGCGGCTCTTGCCGTTAGGCCCCTGTGCAGAGACTGGACGTGCCACAGCGTCTGTTGCGGGTGGAATAAGTCCAGACAGTTGCTGCTGAAGTCAGGGAGTGACTTTTATGTTCAAGGGCAGAACTTGGTCTTAAGGCTCAGCACCACCTCCTAAATAGGGTTGCAGAGGAGTGTTCAAAGGGGTTTTTTAATCCCGCTTTTAACTGTTTTCTGCAGCGTTAAGTAGGATGATGTATGCCTGAGCCAGTGGCAGAGCTGTTGAAGCAGCGTGTTCTGCAAGCTGCTCTTCTGTTGGATTTGTTTGTTGTTTAAAAGGCTCTTCCGTTTAAATCGGCTCATTCTGTAATAGCCGATTCTGCTGTAAAGATTATGAAGTGGAATAGCAGCGTCACAAAATCGCAAGGAAGCGTCCCGAGTGTGTAGTAGCCCTGGTCTTGTGCAGAGGCAGTAGTGATACCGGTATTAACAAAAATAAGAAGAGGAATCGGCATTTGACGGCTACCAACAGGGTAGTTCTCAGTGTGCGTCAGGGCAAGTGGCAGACACCGCAACTTTAGGGAGACAGTCTCGAGCTTAATATTTTTCTCTTAACCAGAGAAGTTCTGCTAACTAATCAAACGAACTTTACAGACCTTTAATTCAATTAGTTTCAGTTAGTGCACTCGCCAAGCGAGTCTGCCGGTGTCTGTAATTTCACAACCACGCTTTCTTATTTTAAAGCTTTTTTATCTTTTAAGCAGCACTAGGAGAGACCTACCCAGCAGAGAGTGACTGTGGAAAAAACAATGCAGGTGATTGTGCACGAAGCTAAAAAAAAAGCCAAAAAAAACAGCTAAAGCAGGCACAGCACCTGAAACTGTGGATTAGACGGTTTGGAAAAGCGCGGAGTCCTCCTTTTTAGCGCTGTTAGTTCTGGTTAACTCTTACAAGCAGTGGAATACGTTTGCAAGGCAAAAAACCGTGAGTGATCTGTCTCTTTTCCTTCTCTTTCTGTGCTGTACTCAGTTTATGCTTCCTCCCTTGTGTTCTTCAGCCTCGATCGGGCGCTTCTACGGCGCGATCGGGCCGAGGGATAGTAGTCGTCGAGCTCCGCCGGGGGTGGAGGTTTTGAGGACGGCCCGTTGCGTTTTACCAGCCTACTGTAGTGGCCGGAGCGTCGTTTCCTACTGTAACGTGGCAGGTGAAGCGTTTCAACCCCGTGTGGTTTGACTAATTCCCGCTGTGCTGCTCCAGCCCCCGGGCCGGGGGGGGCCTGGGGGGGGGGTCCCCTTGCCTCTGGGGCAAGCCGCGTTTTGCAATTGCTGTTCAGGCGGCTGCG